GGAAATGGGTATGGGTATGGGAGGGATGTGGATGTGGATGTGGATGTGGATACTCCGATGGCAGTGGGGTGGTGAAAAATTGAAAGAAGAAAGCAGCAGCCCGAAAACACAACAACACCAAGCGGGCATAACTATCCCAGGCAGCGCAGAAAGTGCAAGAAAATAAGACGGCAACAAAATAATGCACCACAAACTGCAAAGGCAGGGAAAATTAAAAGAATCGAAAAGAAAAGAAAAGAACATAAAATATAAAATAAGAGTAAGAGAAAAAGAAAGTGCAAAAGAAAAGAAAGGAAAATGCGGTGGTGAGGCGGTGACTTAAACCCAAAACCCGAAATAAAATATGCATAATAATATTCACAATAATACATGCATATGCCGTCGACTTGCCAACTTTTCACCCAACCCCGCCCCCTTTTCTTACCGCCCTACCGCCTTCCCGCTTAGCGCCTTCGCGGCGGGGGGGCGTGCCAGTGCGGCAGTGCGTGTGGCTGGCTCTGCCAAGTTGCTAACAAGCTTAGTTCCCCTTGCGCAACTTGCTCATTTCCCATTTTCCATTTCCCGCGCCTGCAGGATCCTTTGAGCCACTCAGGCAGTGGCAGCACCACCAACGAAGTGCTCCACAATTTTTAATTAATTTAGTTGCCCGAATCGTCGAGCCACGGAATCTACATAAGTATCATCATCTATACTTCTGCTGTTTCATTCCCTCTCACAGATGTATAAGCAATTTTTAAGATATTTAGCTGTGATCCTATATTGACCAATCTATACCAATGTGAATCAGTAAATCAGTATTTTAGTCGACAAAATACGAAAAGGGGCGAGAATAAGGCAGGATTGCACTCTTTATTTGCTTTTTATAGCTTTATGAATGGGCGTAATTGAACAAGAGTTGGATATTGATAATCAAAACAAAATGTCATTTACATTTTTCAAAAATATCTGTCCGTCTGTCTTTCTGTCAGTATGAACCCTGAGATCTCGGTTACTATATAAGCTAGAATGTTGGGACTTGGAATGCAGATTCTTGAAGTTCTGAGACGCAAGTTTATTTCAGCAGGGTGCCACGCCCACTCTAAAAATCTGAATGCAATAGCTTTAAAAAGTTTGTTACTGTACCTGTTTTCCCTTTCGAGTATTTTACTCGAATTCGATTTGCACAGAAGTTAATATTAAAATATCTTATTCATTTAACAGTGCAAATAATACAACAGTATTAACAAAAAGTATTCCAAGTTTCAGAAGTCAACTTAAATATTTCTCGAAACTAATGATCAGATCTCTGGGCAATCTCTTTGTAGAATTTTCCAACCAGCGGTAGGCAACACTAGGTTCCAGAACGCAAAGTGGTTCCGGCCAGAATGGTTTTGGGGCCGGAGTACAGTTGTGTCCCACTCGGCTTTCCGGCACTAAGAACGGGTCTTTGTGATTCCCGAGAACTGTCCCAGAAGTGTGTAATTACTCATAATGCCAAACACCCGGTTGGGCTAACAAAGGACTTTAATTTAATTGCGAGTAAACAAAGGAGCCTCCAGAAGGGGAAATGGCAATTGCAGAGTGGCAGGAGATGGGCGGTAGTAGATTGAAGGTAGGTGCCCACCGGAGACCCAATTCAGGTGGCCCATCTAGGGAACAATGAGCAGTTGGCGCAGCTGTCAGAAGGAGGAGGACAGCGGAAGGATAAGAACCTGATGACAGGATACATTACGACTGCCGTTCGAAGACAAAGCCTCCAGCTTTGTGGAACCAAAAAAAGGGGGCTAGTTGGTCCTCAGAGGGGTTCCAAAAATATCCTAGACTTCGTAGTACCGAAACCTACTTACCCACCACCACCAACTGCGGCCTTAATCTAAGGGTTACCGCCATATCGATTGGCCGAAAATATGTCATTCTCGAGGAACTGGGTCTGATTTTCCGTGCGAAGGTGGGATGATGGGAGGAAGAGTTCTGAGGAGGCCCATACTTTGGACGACCGACCAAGTTCCTTCGAACAAAACGAAACGAAACCGCAAATGAACTCGTCCCAGAAGTAGCTCAACTTCTGTCGGTCGACGGCCATTGGCCTTGAAGTGCCGAAAAGCAACAAACAAAACAAGCAAGGCCTGTTGCCAGGAGGCCACCTGCTCCTCCTCCTCCTCCTGCTGCTGTTCCTCCAGTCCAGCCTAGGAGAACCCGTGATGGGACTGAGACAGAGGCGTCTGACGCACTCTGCGCCTTCTTATTGCGTTTCCTTTCGCCCCCAACCCTCTGCCATTGCCACCCTGTCACTTCTGCACAGGCACAGGCACCGTCACAATATCCTGAATATCCTGAATTTCCTGAATTCCCTGCCCCCCCTCAACAGCAACTGTTGCATCGTCGCTTTTTGCCACCTTTAAATTTGGCAACAATTCAATTTTCTGCGGCTTCCTGTCTGCACGAACACTACGTAGTGTGTCACCTGTCCACTTGCACCTGTCCCATCGCCACCATCACCACCCACCCATCATCCATAGCCCCTTATCCCTTTTACCCATTACCCATTACCCATTGGATCACTGCAGCTTCGACACTCTTAGAATCCGAAATGACCCCAAAGGCAGCCGCAGGATGCGGTGGCACATGGCCCCGCCTCCTCCTCCTCCTCCTGGCATTTCCTTCTCCCACCTGGGCAGCAATTAGCATTAACACAAACGGCTTGACTGCAGTTGGTGAGCAAACAAAGCGCTGGTCAGGTCGAGGCGAATGACTTGTATATTGGGCCACTCCAAGGGGCAGGAACTGCCTGCTCCTACTGCTGATACTCCTGCTACTCCTACTGCTTCTACTACTCCTACACTCGCCATGCGGCATGCGGCGCAATTTGCGGCCCAGTGACAACATCGCTCGGCCGACTGGACTGGAGCACCGGTCAGGGACCCGGGACTCCGGACATGGACATGGCCCAGGACAGGAGAGGACCAGAGACCATCATCAGCGGCACAAACTCGCCGGCAGTGGGGTGCGCGTAAGTCAAACAACGCAGAGAAATGAATTATAAACAACATGCCAACAAAAAGCAGACCGCCCAACCCCTTTTTTTTTTGCATTTCCCGGGATGCGGAGGGGCAGGGAGCCGTTGGCAAAGCCGGACGACTGGGGTTCCAGGGGGTTCCACGGGGGTTCCAGGGGGTTCCTCGGGTTCCTAGCGCTCCTAGGGGTGGGGCCACATGCAATTTTTATTTTATTTAAATGTAATTATCTGCTTGAACACAAAAAAATGCTCATCACGATGAGCAGAAGCGGCAACCAAAACAACAACAACAGCAACAGCAACAGCAGTACAACACACATCACACACACGTACAGACAAAAAAATCCATTAAAATTGTGCAGGAAATATAATCAAAAAAACAAAAGATGCGAGCAAAAAAAAAAAGAAAATATAAAGGGAAAATCGCCAGCACAGAAAAAAAGGAGGAGTAACAAAAAACATCACACATTCAGATGGCCAGAAAGTAAGGCGTATGGGGAAAGAGGGGAAAAAAGGATCTGGGGGAAGGGTAACGCACCTACCACCAGTGCAAAAAGTAAGACTGCAGAGGAGGGGGATGCTGGATACAGGATACTGGACACTGGACAGTGGACTCTCCACCCGAAAACCCAACCCAACATGGAGGGGGGCCAGCAGGCGTGGCCTTTTTGTGCTCATTTGCCACGCACTTTGGGCAACTGCAACTGCAACTGCAAATGCGGATGCAACTGCGGATGCAACTGCAGCTAGGCCTACGCCTATCGACCAGCGACCAGGATCGGGATCGGAACCACGACCAGGACGAGCCTGCCACCAATGACGTGTTGCCTTTTCGATTTATTTTTCGACAGCATCTCCCTGTCTCCCTATCCCCCCTATTATCCCCATCTCCCAGCACGAACTGCCTATATACCCGCGTCACACACACAGCATACCATGCCTCATATGTACTGCCCCGTGCGCCAGTGTGTGTGTGTGTGTGCGCCTCCCTTTTTTTTCTGCAGCGCAGTTTTCGTTTACTTTTTGGCGGCCGAAAAATGTTCAAAAATAAAACGAATCGCGCCCGCATTACGTGCGACACCCGCACACCCCACCCACAGCCCATCGCCCACCCCCTCCCTCTCGGCCATGCCCATCATCCGCCCACTTCCCTTTAACTACCCCTCGGCAGGAGGTTCACAGGACCCGGACCACAACAACAGCAGCGTCATCGGCTCGCAAATTTATCGAATTCTTTAATGGCAAGTGGGGTTCGGGGATGGTGGACTGGGGATTGGGGATGGTGGATTGGGGATTGGAATATGCCCAAAATCTGCGATTATGGATCGCGGATAAACAAAGATTACAGATGGAACGCATATTTTTAAGTTTTTGAAAGAGCACCAATTTATAAAACAACGGCTTGAGGTCAATGGTCAAAATATATATATTTATATATATATATTTATTACAACAAAGATTTAAGAAAGAAGAAAATAAAAGTAGACTTACAGTTTAGATTTGTTCAAACCGGATATAAAAACACTTTCGTGCTTTGGTCGCTTTTTTTTCTTGAACTAGTTTCATAAGTCTTTGTCTTAATTCTATAAACAATTTAAACATCATAAAAATAATAAAACTTTTGAAGATAGCATTATAATATATGTACAATGTACTTCTAAATCTTTAATGATAGTGTACCCAGAACACCAAACTTAATTAAATCCCTTATATCTAACAATTTCACATTTCTTATAAGGAAAAAGCTTAGAACATTTTTAATGCACCACTTACAAATAAGTAAATGGGAACATTAAAATGTAATCAACGTAGTTAGTTTTAAAAAACCACCGCCAAAACCGTTTATTTATTATTTTAACTTCCTGAACATTTAGTTAAAAAAAAACGAAGCTGTTCTGAGTTTGTTTTTATGAGACATCAAATTGTTTTATCATTAAATCATAAATTATTTTGCTAAATAAAACAGCATAAATTGATTCATAATTTGTCCATCTATTTTTTTTAGGAAGGAACCATTCTGAGGAATTCAGCAAGCGAAAAAAAATGTTTGACGAAGATTACGAAGAATGGAATTGACATGTTTAATCTGTTGCAACATACATTGATAGTAAGTATTTTACACTTAATTTGATATGTCATTCGAGTATAAAAAGGTTATTCTAAGAACAGATAAGAATATATATTATATTTTGCAAGCCCTTAGACTAAAAAAAGAACTAAAACTTAGGAGTTATTAGTGATAGCTGATTACCTATAAAATTTATCTGCCCTTATATTTAAGGAGAAATTAACTGAAGGTAATAAGTTACCTTAAATGGTCAGAGTAATTTTGTAGTTAAAGATTCTTATACTTAAGGAAATATGATTTCTCTGGGTGTGACCCTATCGAAAAGGAATATTTTAGAGATGATTCCAGAAAGTGCATCTAAATCAAGCTTTTCGCATTCACTAAAAAGCAGAGCTCAGTTGCCAGAAATGGATATTGTGCCCAGCCTGAGGCCGATTCTGTTTCGGGACTGAGCTGTTTAATTTGACCACATTTCCTAGCTGCAACTCACAGGGAAAAGGAGAAAGTAGAAAGTACAAGAGAAAGGGGAGGCGGCCCTTTGAGGCTGTTGTGCAATAATTAAAATCATGTTAGATGCTTTGTGGCTGTGGATGCAATTGCTGCAGCTTGCAGCTCGTGTGTTTTTCTGGCTGCTGACAGGCGGCGACAAGCTCAAAGCGACATAATTCCAGTATACCAATCCGCCCATCCGCCCATCCACCCATCCACCCACACACTCCATCCGGGATTTCTGCATTCCAAATTCGGTGGGAGTCCATCCGTTCAACCGCTTTTGAGCTGCATCTGCTGCAGCGGGATATTAAAAACCAACTTTGATGCGTCTTTGATTTTAGTCGCTGTCGCCGCTGCGCCTTTCATCTTTTTTGTTATTTCTTATTTTGTATTCTGTATTTTTGTGTGGCTTCACTCCGGGCGATTAAAAACGCCGTTTGGCCACGATTGTGTGTCCCCAATGGACATGGGCATAGTTTCCACATCCACATCCACATCCACTCATCAGAGGGGTACAGTTGCCCGCATTTCTATGCAGGGGGTCCTTTTTGAGCGGTGGTTGGTCATGGTAACGTATAGTAACGTCACGTAAATCCCACTGTGAGCCGGACAAAGGGCCAGAATCGCTGACCCCTTACCCCCACACACCCCCCCAAAACCATGCCCAATTTGGCGACCATTGGTGAATGATTCGCCGAAATTATTTCCAGCGCTATAAAAACTTTTGCATTAAAATGCCAAACAACCGCTGCTAGTCACCTTATCTAAAACGAGTCGAAATCGCCCAATACAATGGTAAACCCATGGGGGTGGCTCTATGCCAAAGCTCCGAGGGGCTGGGAGATGGGGGTTTCCAGGTGGCAACCCTTTAATTCTTATCCTTTTTTTGTTTTTTGGGCACGTTTTTTATTTAATGTGCGCATTTCACACATGTCCACGATTGCGGTGGCGTCGACGCCAGCCGCGGCCGAAGCTGAGGCACTGCAGCCGGCGCTCTAGAGGATTCGGGAGGGGGTTCGAGTGGAGTGGACCAACTTTTTATCGATCTGCCGCATGGTAATGAGGGGGAGATGGGTCGCCAAATACGCCTAGAGTGGCTGATGCCGCGTCAAATGTTTGTTGCTGGCCAGCGGATGGGTTCTCCATGGGTTTTCAGGGGGGTGGCACTAGGCAAGCGTTGGAAAAAACACGAAAAAACCAAAGCAAACCAAACCCAACCAAACAAAACAAAAGGGAACCCAAAGCCCAAGTGATTAATTCAGCATGCGAATATTCATATGTGCAAGGCCCATCAGCCCATCAGCCCATCAGAACCCACTCCAATGAAAATCCGAATCTGTACCCAAGGCAAGTCATGTAATGAGCAGAAATTTCCAGCCGAATTCGAAGCCCAAAAAAAAGACCCAAAAAAAGGGGGTTGGGCTGCTGCGGGGTCAGTGAAAAATGAGCGGACGCGAAAGGGGAGCTTTACCCCCTTCCTTCCCGACCGCAGCTACTTTCTAATTAAGCGTGCTTAGTTGTCGTGGGTTACGCGGCCTTTTTGGCGGGGGAGGGGGCAGGAGAAGAAGGGTCAGTAGGGGGAAGGGTCACTGGTCAGCCGAGCCCAACATGTCAGCCACAGACCTCCAATTTGGGTGGTGTGCACACGCATGTCTAAAATATCTAAATCGCCATTCGCGTTTATCTCTGTGTGTGTGTAACGTGGGGGGAGGGGGGTTGGGTGGTAGTGGGGCTGAGGAAAAGTGTACATACTATTAGGTACGTCTGTACATACATAGAAGTGTGGGAGGGGGAGGAGGAGTGGGAGGGGCTGGCTAGCTAGGGGGCTGAGGGTGCGAACCCTTTTTGTTTTCACTGACTGAATGATGTTGGCGAAAAAAGTTTCTAATGAAAACTCCCCAAAAAAAAGAAAAGGGACGAAAGGCTCACACAAAGAGCCCCCCACCTATACAGATGCAAAGGGTTGACTCACTAGAGGGGGTTTGGGGTGGGGGTTCCTCATTACACAACGCAAATATAATACATATATGTAGGCATGCTATGTATGCGAATATGAATATGCAAATAGAGCGCTGTCTCTTCGGCTGTATGTCTAAGCAGCAGACAAGTTGAAAGTGGAAGGGGTCAGGGGCAGGGGGCAGGGGCAGTTACATTTAGAAACCCCTAACGACACTGCTGCAGCCACTTGCATCCCTTAAAGGCCTCGCAAATCGCACATCGCACACATACACGTGCACACCTTGGGTATTGGCATTGGCAGAACCCTCAACTGAGAGCCTCAGACTCCAGATTTCAGATTTCTCCCCATGCATTCTGGTTATCACATCGCTATCGGTAGCGCCTAGGCCTCCTGTCTCCGCAATTTGTGTAGTTCAAGTGCAGTTGGTAACCCACACCACTTCCACAGGAGCGACACATGTACAAGTGCTGGAATACTAGGAACACAACGGGGACATCAGCCAGGACAAGCTCTGGAATGAAAAGGAAGACAAGGAAGAAAAGGAGCAGAGCACAAAGGCCGCAGGACGAAACAAAAGACGACGTCTCTTCATCCACATCCCCATCCTCCTCCCGGCTCACTTCATTTCACTTTTCATACTCGCACACACCCCCTCAATCTGAGACAAGTTTGTTTGGCATTCACCCAGCGAGGTGACCCACCACCCACTGAATCACCCACCCACCAATCCACCTCCCACCTCCATCCGGGTGGCTGCTTCAATAGCGTCTCAAACTTTTCGTTTCGTTTCGTTCGCCTCGTTTTGTTGCATTGACAAATAATCCAGGCGTGCAGCTTGACCCCATACCATTTGGGTCGCCTTGAGTTCCCCGGAGTTGCTGCATCTGGACTTGTTTGCGTATTTCGACATTCATTAGCCTGTCGTGCAGACATCCCACATCCCACTTCCCCACTTTCAAATGCAAATTACTTAGGGATATGAGTTTTCTTTTGTTTTCTACTTTTTATTTAACCCGCCCTCCTCTGTCAAAGCGTCTGCTTAGTTTTAGTCCTGTTCACATCTGAATCTGCAGGATCCGGGGTTCGAGGTTGAGCAACATATCAAGCCGGGTCTGAAAATACCCATTAATGGTTATACGATAGCTTTAATAATATGATATGATATGTTAGTGAAAATGAAAAAACTAAAGAATTGCACAGTATGGAATGAGGTTTGTTGTTGCATCTAGAATAGTATCTTAGAATCTTTCCTTATTAGTCCTCAATTTTTGGATCACAAAACTAATATAATATAATATATGATTTGATATTGCAACTGAAAAAAATTAAGATCTGCACAGTATTTTGTTAGGTTCACATGGAATGATGGTTGTTGTTGCATCTAGGAATAGTATCTTGGAGTCTTTCCTTATTAGTCCTTAATTTTGGATCACAAAACTTTCAACTATTTAAACATTATTCGTATGAAACATGTTTATAATATTTTATACATGACCAAAAACTTAGTTTTGGTTTATTTTCCAAATGTTTTTACCCAAACAGGATCATTTTCTTCACATCAATGCAGTTTTAATTGCTTATAACTACATACTCGTACATAGTTACATATTTGGCATTTTTACAAGTTATTTTATTTGTATATTTGTGTGTATGTGGGGCTATTAATTTTTTTAACAGCTGTGAAAGTGATCACACAACTTTTTGCCATACGAGCTTATGATCTAATGAAAAGAATTACATATAAATGTACCAATATTTTTGTTGATTATCCTCCCAATTGCCACCCCTCTTGCATCCCGTAAAATCCCTGCCCACCAGCCGCACAAGTGGAGTGGCAGGAATGAATGTCAGACATGTGAAGAGACCTCCTAATCCGGCTGCCCAATTTGCCGGCTCCTTGGAGAGGCGTCAAGCGCTTCGTTGTTCCTACAGGAAAGTGAAACTTGCAGTGGGGGATGGTGATAGGGGTGAAAGGTGGTAATAAGGGGGGGCAAGGGGAGTGCGAGAAAGTGTGCGTCATCAGTACTGCAAGGGGGTGTGCTTAGGCGTTGCAGCTTTTCCGGCTGCAAAATGGGGTTAAATTGCACAGAAATCACGCGTCACGTATGCCCCACTCCTTGTAACACCCCTTTCCTCCCACTTGCGCCCCCACCCCTGCAACAGCATCATCACACACAGCACACACACAGAGAACAGGCGCTTTGTTTGGGAGCACTTAACACGGCGTTGCCGGCGATGACGACATGCACTTGAGCCTCACAAAGGCCTAGCCCATCCCCATCCCGCATCCCCAAATCCTCCTCCCCCTGCTGCGAACATTGCACAGTTAGATGCACTAGACAGCCACGAGACGAGACGGATTCTAACCCTTTGGCGCTGATTCCACCCCCAAAAAAGGGGCAGTGGAGGGGATGCATTAGAGTGCCGACTGCGCCGCCTGCTGCGACTGCAGCTGAGACGAGGCGAGACGAGACCCTTGTCATGTTGATATAGAATTCTCGGCTGGCCGCGGCTTTAGTTGCACCACCAGAAGCGGCAGAAGCCCCATCCTGGCAGGTGTAAAAAAGGAGGGAACCCTGGTGGAGATCGGGGGTATGGTATGTACCAGGGGTTCAAGGTGGCCAGGGGAGGCTGCAGCGAAAGTGAAACGGTGGTGGCTCCTGGCAGGACTGTCTTTATGCGCTCCGGGGCGGCTCAAGCCGATGGTAGATGGTAGATGGCAGATGGAGCTGCATCTCCCGGCTGCTGTGTGCACTTTCCTGCACTATTCAAAAGTGAACTCGAGTGGAGTGGCGGCCGTGCCGTCTGGGGGTGCCGAATGGGTTGAAGGACGTACGCGAGGCGACACGTCTGCCCCACAAGGGGTTGGCATTGGCATGGTGGCATGGTGGCATGGTGGCACGTTGGCATGGTGGCATGGTGGCTTGGCCAGGAAGGGTGGCGCTCTGCACTGGCTGCACTGCAAAGATGCAAAGATGGCGATGCGACTACCATTGTCGAAGTCGTCGAGAGCGGCAAAGGGAAGTGCAAGTGGATATGGCAGTGGGATGGGAAATGGGAAACGGGATGGGAAATGGGAAGGTGGGTAGTAGACCCAAGACGAGCAGATCCGAGGAAAGTCGAGGAAAGAAAAGTGAAAGCCCAGCTCCCAGTTCTCGATGCCCGTAAAAACCAATGAAATTTCGCTTAGGCTCACTCGCTGCGTTCCTTTCTGGGCCGCGCTTTACGAGACCTCCGCGAAGTCAAAACTTCGAACCAAATTAGAACTTCGAACCGGAACACTGTCAAAAAATAGTTCAGATTAGAATTCTGTTAAAATATAAATATCTTTTAAACTGATTCACAAAGCTTTTATGTAATTGACCAATATAATATAATAAACGGCCCAACCTTTCAAATTGGTAATTTGAAACACGAAATAGTTACTCTCCCAACAGCGAAATACCATTTTAACCTTTTTTACCGTTTTCGTCAGTTTTACCCACATATTTGTGTGTGTGTAGAAAACGTTTGGCAAGTCAGAGCTAAAACATTTCTTAAAATAAACCAGAAGACGAGGAAGCTGTCCCAAGAATGTTTGATTTTAACGCTATCCCAAGGATGCAAAAAGCTTTTTCTATGATAGATTTTAATAAAATGTTGTACTAAAACTTTTTTATAAAAACGAGTATGCACTTTTGCAAACTTTTCACTTTATACTTTTTTTATTTACGTATTTATTTAGTTTTACATATAACCCCTCGACAGTCTTATTTCAAAACGGTTGAAATATTAATTTCCGGTTCTGATTTTCTTCCAGATTGCCTGCAAAAACAGATTGTTTCCAGTGCTCGGTTATGGACGGGCCAGATCGGAATGAACTTGAAATAAAAGCCAGAAACGCACTAATGTCCTTCGACGACTGGACTGGCAAATAAAAAGTTTGCCGCTACAGTGCCCCCACTTCCGCTGCGGTGGTCTCATGTGCGCGGCGACAAAGTTTTTATTCCTTTGTTTAGAATAAGCACAAGTGCGCACGTGTTCCGTTTGAGTCCGCTTTAGTGCAGCAGGGGCGGATTGGAGGCTGGGAGGCTCAGAGGAGGCTGGGAATGGGTCTGCGCCTGCGATGCCGTTAAATTTTAATGCGCCCGTATCGATATGCGTGCATGGACCGCCCGCGCCAGCGGAATCTATAAAAGCCAAACTCGCGTGTCACCATCACCATCGCCACCTCCATCCGGCGATTCCTATTCCCTCTAATGCCGCCTGGTTGCCGGTGGTAGCTGCGAGTCGTGATAAGGCAATTGGCATCTGGAGGTTAGTTGCTGGGCCAAGGAGGCAGGCAGCTGCACTCGCCTATGAATATCCCATGAGCTCACGCACTCCAACATTTGCTCGTACTTTGCATAAATTCGCAATGTCGCGACTTCTAATCAATAGCATCGAGTTGGGAGAACCGAAGTGGAGTCGAATTTGAAGAAAAAAAAAGCCCAGCCGGTGAGCATCGCAGTTCACCCCAAGTATTTCTAATACAATTTTAATTTTTACATTTTAGTCACCGAAACTATATGAAGGATGAAAAAAGCATTGATTTCAGTCAACTGGCAAGGAAAACAAAAGGAAAATTGAATTACAAAATACATTATAAATGACTTGTTTCACTAATTTAATAAACAGGAATATATTTAATATTGTATTTTTTTTGGATATTGGTTCGAAAAAAGCCTAAATTAAATTTTCCTAGGCTTTTCTTTCTAGAAAGTGTTGCATACTTTTGGGCAGCAGATCGTAAAAGTTCACTTAATTTCTATAGCATACTTTTGGGCATCTGATCGTAAAATTTCAATGAAAACTTGACATCTAGATGGCGCTAGTGTTGTAATAATTTTATCTTGAATATATTTTGTAGCATACTTTTGTGCGGCCAATAAATTATTTTATATTGCGTGCATTTGGGGGCTGCTGGAAATTTAGATTGCACAGCCACCTGCTGTTATTTCTGTTCGCCTGGTACTTCAAATCGGAAATTCTTTCGATTTGCGCGACAAAATGATCAAAATCCAAAAAGTTTTGCGACTAATTTATTGATTCTGATTACCAGGCAAACATAATCGGCAGCAAGTGTTTGCTGGGAAATAAAATTTCTGGAAATCAACCGTTAGTTGAGAAAACATTTTTAGATTGCATATCCACCTACTGTAATTTATGTTCGCCTGGTACTTAAAATCGGAAATTCTCTCTATTTGCGCGAAAGTATGATCAAAACCCAAAATGTTTCGTGATAAATTTATTTATTTTGAACACCAGGATAACGTAATCAGCTGCAAGCGTCTGCTGGGTTTAAACAATTAATTTTCAACAAAATAAACTAAATAAAAATAAATAAACTAAATGATTGTGAAAAAACGTTTATTATTGGCGCTCTTGGCAAGATGAGAAATTCGTTTATAATTTGGGATGGGATAAGTAAGAATTATATTTTCAAAAATCAGGTTTTCTACCCCAGGTCCTCACGTCTTATCTAAAGGATATAGATTTAAAAGCTTTATATAATTACATAAGATGTATTATATATATTTGAAATATCAGCTTATTTACAAGTACAAGTTAGGCTTTTAAAGTGTCCTTGCTGGGCTTTTTTCTTGCGGATTTCTGGAAAATTCCCAGGTTTTGGTCCTTTGAAGCTTTTTTCACGATGCTTTGTGATGCGTGTCCTTGATAATTCCATGTACTACCGATACGTATCAGGAACACACCAAATTGAGCTTTACATGTCCTGGGAACTTGCTGCTGCTCTGGAACAATGTCCTTGCTGTAATATCCTACCCTAGTACAGCTCTCAAGCTCCTCCAAAGGGCTTTGGGCCCAAAGCACAGCCGCAGGACGAAACTCGTTGGGGGTGTTTTTTAGAAAAGGGTTCCAAGTTTATTCATATATATTCATGTTGTGTGAGGGATTGTCCAGGCAGCCTGGACGAGGGATGGCGGGGATCCGGTCCAGCGCCAGCTGCAGCTGCGATCTGGGCGGGACTGGTCCTCTGCGTCTGCAGGGTACAGGGTACAGGTTGTGTGTAAAGTGGGTGTGAGTACATCCTTATCGGGGTTACAGTAGGGGTTAGGGGTTAGGTTATCGTATTTTCTGTAGGTCTAGGGTTATCCGTACCTCTATCGGTATCTGTTGCCGTGTCTGTATTAACTTGCAGTTGCCTTTTCTCTGTATTGCTAAGTGCCGGACACAGCGTCCGGCATTCTCGGGCGCTGCGGTTCTACTACTCGCTAGTGTAAAGGTTCTCCGTCGAAATAATCCTCGTAAGCATAAGTTATACTCTATATAATCGGCACTGCACATGCCGTGCACGTAAAATAAGTCAAAATGGATACAAAAATGGGTACGAGTAGGTGGCGACGTTCTGGATCATTATCAATTTGCTTGTTTTCTTTTTTTGTGTATAAATTAGTAACTATTTAAAATTATATACATTCATGTACTTATCATATTATAGATATCATGCCTGTCTGTACAAAACGTCGCCGGATAGGTTTTTGTTAAACATTTTTCATTTCACATGTGTCTCCTCACTATCAATTTCCATGTATGTATGTATTTCCTTTGAGTGCAGGTTCACATAAATTCAGTCGTGATTCAATTGATTTCCTAAAGTTGATATCTTTGCTTTGCTTGTTTCTTGTTTTTTTGTATTTCTAAAATAAAGCTCAAGGTAGTAAAACCGGGCCTACACAAAACGGAACACACACACGCTCGTATCTTATATCGTTCAACAGTACAACGGGCAGCTCTGTGGATCTAGAAACTCCGGGGGATTCGGATTTCGGATGCACGGATGAACTGTGCGACTCCTGCTTGGGTATTTGGTATCGGATCGGACACGTAAATGCAGCTCGAACCTAGTGTACGCTACTGTCAGCTAGATGCTTAACCAAGGGAATCGCGACTGCTCCAGCGAAGTGTCCGCTGCGTCGTCAGGGTTGTTATTGTAAGCACGATAAAAACTACTAAGACTAACCCTACAAACTCCCGCTAAATGTGTATATACTAGCTTATTGAGTGCCCCAGCAGTTCCTGGGCAGCCCAGCAGGTCGGAAGGATCATGGATCCTCTGCTAGATAGCTGACCCGCTGACTGGCTGGTTTGCGTGTGCAGCTGAAGCTCGAAGCTGAGAAGCCTTGGCTATAGAGCGCAACAAAGCAGGGGCTAGTTTTTCGTATCTCGTATCTCGTAAAGTCGGGTCTATCTGGTTTACTACAAGTTGAACACATGCACGCCCGCACACACTCCGCACAGTGCCGTACAGCCTCTGCTGTGCCGCACTGTCCCACAGAACTGCAGCTGCAGTACTGCAGTGAGCCAAGCGCAAAACGGCCACGAGGGCGAGAATCGCAGTGGTACCTGTTAACTTTGTCTCGAATGCAAATGAAGCGTAGTCTCCCTGCCGGCTCTGCTTGGGTGAGTTGATCCGGCTGATCTTGGTGGGTGATCTGTGGCTGTGGCTGTGGATCTGATGTATCCTGTATGGTGTGTGTGGTGGTGGTAGTGGTGGTGGTGCTGGTGGGTGACTGTTGAGGCTTTCCTTGACTGCTGAATGCATCCAATTGGTGTGTTGGGTCGGTGTGGCTGATTGTGTTTGTTCTGATCGGGAATGAGTTGTTGTTTTTTGTTGATGACGGGGAGTTTGGTTTCAGTTTCTAGGATTGTATGTGAATATATAGCGCGTTTAAATTCCAAGACTGCAATTAAACAGAGAGAGATAGAGAGCATGAGTCACTGACAAGGAAGGAGTTTCACTAGAGTCCTAAATTTACACGAAACCCCTATGTACATATACATATAATCTACGTTTAATATATTGTGCGTTGCTAACGAAGCGCAGCGGACCCAGGGTCCACCTTCCCTTCTGCTTTTACATAAGGTACACATATACATGTCGACCTTCGATTTGCTGTCGAGTACTCGGCTCCGATGTCTAATGGTCACAAGACACAGTGCTCAGCGAGCGCCAGGTGATAACAGCACACCCGAAACGAGGGCCAGCAGCGAAAAAGAGTGAGAGGGCACGTGGTCGCTGCTCTGTGGATTGGCTTACATTCGCGATCCCTTCTGCTGCAGGACCTTGGCCCGGTCGTTAAGCTCTAGCTCTCGCCCGGCCGTCGTGCCGCACTCCTTGGAGACCACGCACAGGAACTCATTGTTTTCAAACGGCCCGTAGTTGGTGTACTGCATGCTGATCAGCTGCTCGAACCGCCAGCCATCCGACAGTGTTGAGATCATCTGCAGTGGGAGAGTAACGTTCGCATGAGTGGTTTGCAGGTTTGCAGGTGCACCTGGTGACTCACCTGGGTCAGTTCCTGTTCGCGGCACTGCAGCACACGATATACGCGCTTCTTGTCTGCATGCGGTCGCTGAAAGGATTGGTAGAAGGATTAGTAGGGAAATGAATGTGATGGCAGAGGGCCGGACTCTCACCTGATCCCTGTGCAGGATGCACTCCTTCAGCAGAGCTATCAGCTGTGTCACGTTGTAGAACTCAGCCTCCTCCAGCACGCCCTCCTCGGAGACGCCATCGAGCACCAGCTTGCCGTGGCGCAGATAGTTGAGCACGGGTGCAAAGTATTTGGGGTCTCTGTCGATTAGGTAGGCGCCTGTCTCGTCCTGCCAGTGAATGGGATTTGAAATTAGTAGTTGCGTGGATTCACATGCTCTTGCTGTCCTGTTTCGTACTCTCTTTCTAGTTTAGACTTTGACTTTGAGTCGAGCGGGGTCGGGTCCGCCTGCCATAACAAACCACGCTCCCACCTGCACCCCTTTGCAGCGACAGCAGGTGAATGGGTAGCCACTGTTACTTGGATGGCGCCCACTGTTGCTGCTCAGCGTCAGCGAGGGGCTGCTCTATTCGGGCTTCAGACAATTTAAGCGCCCGTTTAGGCAAGGTAATGGCCGACTGTCTGAATGCCTGGTGGTGGCTGCCTTAATTGGCGGACGTGTGGGGGTAGTGAGCACGGAATTTAATCAATAGCAAAAGGCGCGGACCGCGCAATAACAACACACTGCCTGCCACTCGAGCAAGCACACAGGGTGCAAAACTTTTTATTGAAAACTATTCGGGCATCGACAGGGGTTGGTGGGGCAAGAGGGAAAGGAGGCAGTAAGCAGGAGGAGCCAGTGGCCGCCGCCGCCGTCAATGCTGTTTATACAAAGCGGAATAGGCAGAGCGGCTGTCTGTGCGCCTCTGGAATTTCTCGCTGCTTTGCTTGTTTGCAGTGGATTTATGGCTGCGGAGCCAGCGAAATGTTTGTTTGTCGATTGACCGTGTTCATGTTATGATTATTGTCATGATTATTTGGCCTGTCCCGTTTCGAAAGGGGGGCGTGCGACCTTCTGGTGGCGCCACCCACCAAACCACTGCCCACTCGGGGCCCAAGGCCTCTGCCTCTGCCTCCGCCCAGCAGCAAAATCAGGGCCTGTGACTGCACAAACTAGCACACTCGGCTGCAGCTGCAGTTAATGTAGGACACCCTGGCGCTCTCTCACGCTCTCTGGGCTGTGTGCTCTTTGTTCCTGGCTCCTGGCCCCTGGCCCAGATCCCCGCCATCCCCCCTGGCATGACCTGCATTGGGTCATGTGTGCACTTTTCGGACACTTTTTTGATGGGCTTCTAATGACTATAATGACCAATTACTTGGGGCCTGCGGCTATTAATACACAAGGGGCGTGTTGTGGGATGGATGCGGTGGACACTCATGGAGGAAAGGAAGACTCACCCGATCCGATATCAAGTCGCAGTCCTCCTGAATCAGGCGGGAGAGGAAGGAATTTGGGTCACGGGAGAGCGTCGTCTTGGTGGTGAGGAAGTAGGTGCCGCCCACGTTCAGCTTGACCCACTGGTCGGTGCCCTGTTTTTTCAGCACATTGGGGCTCTTGCGCGAGTTGATGAACACGGTGCTCATGGTTCTGCTGCTTCTGCTTCTGCTTCCGCTGAGGTGCTCCGCTGTTAACCTGCTGCTGCTGCTGGTGCTGCTCTTGCGGATGCGACGCCGTCCTGGTTGAGTCGGGCCCTGGCTGCGTCAGTTCCGCTGGCGACCTCGACCTCGTCCTAGTCCTCTGCCTCGCTAACTGCCCGCTCTTATTGTCCACGCGATTCCGTTGCTTGCGATGGCGACTCAAGCCTCAGCTCATGCTTTTCCCTTCGCTCGCGTCTTTGTTGCGTTGCGTTTCGCTGCGTTGCGCCCTGTTGTCTGCGTCTCCGCCGTCGCCTGCGTCTTCGTCGCTGCTTCTCTGCTTCCTTTCCACTCTGGGGTCACTCCACTTACGGCTCGCTGTTTTTCCTGCTCGTCGCCTTGCCTTTTTAGTTAACTTAATTTATTTAATTAATTCATTAATAAACAAGACTGCTATCGATATCAGGACTAACTGGACTTATCGGCCTATCGTCTAGTGGGACCGCGGAGGAATTCACATATATTTCCTTACTCAAAATACCACAAATACGGTCTTTCTGTAATGCGGGGTGGTTGTCACCGCTAGCTCAGCGGTGTCGTATATACATCTGGTATATTTCCGTATTGAAATACTAACATGTGTGAGGGCTGACACCGCTAGATTGGCGGAGATATTTTAAACAGACCGTTTGTGACATAGCGCGTACACCAACCTATCGCTTGATTTATGTTGCCGCCAATGGTGAGTTCTCAAATTTAAATTCAAACTTGAATTTGGCTTAGCCGAGAGCAAGATTAACCAAAGATCAGTTAGTGCGTGGCCTTTAGACGATCATCATGGCTTTTCTGCCGCTTTCGCTGATGCTGCTGCTTCTGCTGGTCTGTGCCAGCGTCTCCTCCTCACCGATGCTGTACAAACTGAATCCCGAAGAGAAATACGAGGCAGGTGGGTGCTCTACAAGATTAGTTTGTTACTCTGGACCCTTTATATCCCCAACCACTGTATCGGTAGACCTTGTGCCAGTCTCCTCCACTGTGATCCCGCTGACCGTGTTGGAGGTGAGCTACGGAGCAGGTGGCAAGCCAAGCGAGGAGTACAAGGCGGCCTACCTCCGCAAGTTGCGCAAACAGGTGCTCCAGCGGGCGGACAAGGGCAAGCAGAACCAGAACGACGAGGACGACGAGGCGGCGACCACTTTGCTGGCCCTGTCCGACTTGCCAACCCCCGCAGATGCTCTGATCACAGGTGGGTTCTTGATCAATCCCATCTACTTATAGCTAATCCTATCTCCCATTGCATTGCAGTGAAGTCGCAGCAGCTGGAGAAGGCCAAAGTCAAGGCCGTCTGAGGGCGGACTGGGACCCAAGTGGAGTAACATGGTGCTGGTTTTTGAGCTGATGTCATGGCGTGCTTGGCATAAACAACAAATACAACAAAAACTAACCGAATCGCAGCAAATCTTGTTTTGGCTTCAGCCTAATTGGGCGTGTGTGGGCGTGGTGGTGGCTGTGAATGTGAATGACGCAGCCCCATGACGGGACCAGAGGTACCGAGAACTCGAAAAAAAGGGAGTCGCAGAGCTAACAGGAAGCTGGCTGTTCCTGCTCGAAGCGGAAGGATGTCTGTTGTCAACGAAATCGAATCAAATCTAATGAGGCCCCTGCTCCCCAATCGATTGGCGGACTGCGATTGGAATTGGGATAACGACGATGATGGGATAACCTCCGCAGTCGCTGGGGGACATTAGCAGGAGCAGCAGCAGCAGCAGTAGTTTCGCCCTTGGTCAGAGGCTGAAAAATCAGAGCAGCAAAGAAGAGGAGCTGGTCAAAGCATGGCAGCACAAAGAAAAACGAGGCATCAAGAAGCCAAGGGGGGGGATTGGGATTGGGATTCCAGGGGGTGGGTGGGAGTAGGTTGGGTGTCTGCTGGCGTGTGCGTGCTTTTGAGGCCAGTTAGTCAATTCCCCACCCCGCCTGCCATATCTTGCCATGCCTTTGCCTTTGCGTTTGCCGTTTTCCTTTTCAGGAGTCGAACTCGGACTCGGGACTCAGGTGAGACTTTCCTGCTCGACTGCCTGTCCAAAGGCAAGCTGACAGGACTGCTCTCTTTCTTGCTGCTATCTTTGATAGCATCCCCATGCCCATCCCCTTTGTGCAGGGCCCCGTCAATGTAGCTGTCATGAACAAGTCACAAGTTGCATGGCCACAGAGGAACGTGTCACTAGCAGTCCGTATCAGTGGAGGTGCAGGTGCACCCATTCACCACCTGAAAATCATACCATACTTCACAAACCCCACCCCCATTCCACCCCAAAAGCACCACGGCTGATTAAGCGCACTGAAATGCTGATGATGGCAGCCAACTATTTTCGCTATTTGTGCACTCGCCTCCGGCACGTACTTAATTTGAATACAAAGGCAGGGCGGCAGGCAGTGGCGGGGCTGGTGGATTGAAGTCTGTCATGTTTGTGTGCCAAGTTTATACGGATTTAAGAGGAGCCGGCGTTGAAGAAGTGTAAACTACACGTAAATGATGTTGTCACAGTTCCACCGAACCAGCAGCAACCCAGCTACCCACCTTCTCCTCACAAAAAACACTTCAGTTGCCTCTGGGTCTGCAATGCGATGGTGTTTTTTTATCGCAGTAGTTATTGCTGTTCGATCTGCACATTTTATGCTCCACTTACCGTCAACGGGGGCTCTGATGAACCAATTAATAGCTGAGCCTATTCAATACCGAATGTTAATATCGCGTATACGCCCACGCGCCCATTCGCATGTGTGTCGCTTGTTGTTGCCATAGATGATGATGATGATGATGATGATGATGATGTTGATGCCGCCTCGGTGGAACAGTGGTTTTTGTTGCTGCTGATTGTTGTCAGCGACAGATGCCATCAAATCGAATGTCAAATCGAATGACGTGTGAAGTAATCGTTGGCGCGGTGCCTCTTTTAATTTACGGCAAAGAGAACACTTCTGACAGGTGATACGATTGGATGTGGCTGTGGATGTGTATAACCCCTTGTGAACCAAACTTAAGCCACTGTATGGGACTAATTAATAGTTGAAATATAAAGCTTAATGGTGGGCTGATGGGAATCCGATTTGCACAACTTTAAAAGCCAATTTAAAAGTAAATTCAGGCTGGGAAATGCTGGAACTTTTGGGCAGGAATATGCGACACAATACCAATCCAATTCCAGGCTTGACTGGGGCGAAATGAAATGTGATTAAGATCCGGATTTGTTTTTGTTTCGGGAGTGGCAGGGGGCGTGATCTAATTGCGGATTTGGGTCGCGTGCCTGGGATGCAGTTGGTCATCGGCCATCCGCCGCTGGCTTCCATGCCGTGCTATACTGCCGTGGTATATTGCCAATCCTGTTGCTGTTTCTGTTTGCCCTCTGACCCTGTTGGCTCTGCACTCGATGGGTGATTTTAGTGGTGCCCCCCAAGTTTGCAGCGTGGGAATTTATGCAAATAAGTGGAAGTGGTGGAGTCGGGAACTCCTGATCGTTTTAGAACCAGAACCAGAGGGTTCCATCTAATTGACGCACGTCCTGTGTGGGCTGTGTGGGCTGTTCCGTGTCCAGCAGACGGCGAGTCGACTTGAGCGCCCTCCAATGAAGCAGAAAATGACTTTAAACGTGGTCAGCTATGGCAGTCAGGGTCTCTCAATTACTTCGCCCCTGTTCCGGTTTCCCGAATTTTCAAATTTACAAATTTCCGAATTTCTAAACTCTCTATGTGTGTTTTTGAAGGGGAGAGAAAGCATGGTAGGCCCCTGCTGAAATGTCTTTTTAAATGCTTCGTGTCGAGTCGAGCCGAGCCTTGCCAAACTTTGATGGGCCAACTCTCGCTCTGACACACTTTCCCTCTCTCTCTTTCCCACTCGGTTTTAGTGTGTGTGTTTGCTTTGATTTTGGAGCAGGCTAGGGAAATCGAGGAAAGCGGGGAAAACCCTTCAGACTTCAGATTTCCGACTTCACAGAGATGCCTCGCAGGCAACATCGGCCCAATGAAATCAGCGTGAGGCAAACAGAATTTTACTAAATACACACACTGGCAGACTGGCACACACACTATGTGAGTTAAAGGGAATATAATGCAAACGAAATTATAAAAAAGTCAAAGCCAAAGGCATCAGAACAGAAGGCTGTAGCCCAAGGACCTTCCAACTTTCTCCCGAAAATCATCAGCTAGCGTAATTAATCGAGTTTTCAATACGAGCGATTCGCAATCGCATCCATCAAAGGAGCCGAACATCCCAGCCAGGCGATCGAAGGCGGCACCAGACGCAGAAGCCGAACAGGAGCAGGAACAGGAACACCCAATCATCTATCATAGACAGCTCCCATCCACCAGCCATCAGCCACCACCCACCTCCGCCCTACACATTCAAATCTAATCAAGGAATACACGTTGCTATCTTCTTCGGGCTATGCGTTTTTACAGGCAATTTATTAATTTGGCAAGTTAGGCAGAGACCACAGAAAGCGACAAAGGCGACTGGGTGCTGTGGAAACAGGGAGTTGGGAGCTGGGGGCAGGGAGCAGGGAGCAGGGAAAGCCGCAAAGCGTTTACCCGCCGCTTTAGTACTGGCTGCGAGCGGGAACAGGATGAAATCCAAGCCGAAAACCGAACAACCGAGACCAAACCCAGACGAGACCCAAAAGCCGAGGGAAAACTGCCAGCGCTTGAAGCCCACCACACGCGATGAGCATCGTGGTCACAGTGGGGCCAAGTCTTCTGTATGCTAAGTATGTAATAAGTATTGGATACCTATTTAGAAGAAAAAAAATATTTGTTAACAATTTGAATGTAGACTATTGGAGAAATCAAAGACAAAGTTACAAAGGTATTCCACTTCAAAATCGGAATCAAATAACTCAAGTTGTGGAATCTTGAAGTGCAGTTTTGGGGTCCCATACTAAAACCCATTGGAAATACGGAAAAAAGTAACATGAAAACCGGCTAAAATTTTGACCCCCTCATAAAAGGAATATTTTGATGTATATCGATAGAGAATTCAACCACCAATCCATAAAGGCATCCCACTTCAAAATCGGGATCCAATAACTGAAGTTGTGGAATCTGGAAGTGCAGTTTTGGGGTCCCATACTAAAACCCTTTGGAAATACGGAAAAAAGTAACATGAAAACAGGCTAAAATTTTGAACCCCCCATAAAAGGAATATTTTAATGTAGATTGTTAGGAAATTCAACCACCAATCCATAAAGGCATTCCACTTCAAAATCGGGATCCAATAACTCAAGTTATGAAATCTAGAAGTGTAGTTTTGGGGTCCCATACTAAAACCCATTGGAAATACGGAAAAAATAACATGAAAACAGGCTAAAATTTTGACCCCCTCATAAAAGGAATATTTTGATGTAGATCGATAGAGAATTCAACCACCAATCCATAAAGGCATCCCACTTCAAAATCGGGATCCAATAACTCAAGTTATGTAATCTGGAAGTGCAGTTTTGGGGTCCCATACTGAAACCCTTTGGAAATACGGAAAAAAGTAACATGAAAACAGTATAAAATTTTGACCCTCTCTTAAAAGGAATATTTTAATGTAGATCGTTAGAGGATTCAACCACTAACCCATAGAGGCATTCCATTTTAAAATCGGAATCGAATAACTCAAGTTATGGCTTATAGAAGTGCAGTTTTGGGTTCCTATTCTGAAAACCTTCAGATGCTTAAGGTGGACATGAAATTAATCACGTATACGACTAGTACGCCAATAAAGAGTCGAACCGAAAACAAATTCTTTTACATGATTTTTTCTAATTTGGTTAAGGTATTTAAAACTTAAATGATTTAAAACTATCAACAAATTCTCTCTCACCTAACCATTTTAGCTGAGACTCACCTTAAACGTAAAATAAATTACGCATACGACCAGTATGCCAAGTAAACATACATTTGTTAAAAATAAATCTGTTACACCAACACCCAATTTCAAAATAGATTTAAAAATATTTTTGATTAAGATCCTGGTTAGCAATAATACATTTTGTATTATTTTTTTATGTCAAAAGTAGTAGTAGCTTTTTACCATCCCCTGTGAACCAGGGTGACTAAGCGAAGAAGGAGCCGTTGGACTAGAACTAGGCTCCAAGTCCTGGCGCTCCAAAGCTGCCGCCTGGCTGCGCAGGGAGCATGCCGCAAAGGATTCAATTGGAGACGAGACGTTGTGCGTAAAAAGCAAAAGCCAGAGAAAGCAAATTAGCAGCAGCAGCAGAAGAAGCAGAAGCAGAAGCACAAGCAGAAGCAGAAGCAGGAGCTGAAACGCACAAAGTGCGCACAATCAAAACAAATCAACACGTGGTTTTTGGCCACCTTTGGAGCAGTGGAGCAGTCGAACAGTAGAGCAGTCGACAGTCCAACAGTGGAGCAGTCGAATAGTCGAGGTCGAGGCGAGGCCCAAAAGGCCTGGAGT